TCTCAGAATTAACATATTTTTGTTTATTTTTTTGGGTCAGAATTTCAAATCCGGAGAAATAAGATTCCAAAGAAGGTAAGTTTATTTTTTTTTTTTACTGATTTCGTAATTTGTTGTATTATTAACATATCGTCTGAATTAATAAACTAGCACATTTAAGATTTGACACACTAAACCATCAAGCCCTAATAAGGGAAAATGTGATTATTTAATGAAAATTTATTCAGGGTGCGAACTTTTTTATTTTGAGGCACTCAGAAAATATCGAATCGATTTTCTATTGTTTTTTTTTTATGTTATGGTGTACAATTTCATAAGTTTTTATATTTTATTGAATTTATCAGCTGTAGATTTTTTTCTTTATTTTCACGATTAAATTTTTTATTGTATTCCTTTGATAAAAATATTTCAAATTCTGCATTATTTTTAAAGCTAAAATTTGCATCACTATTTTGAATATAATTAAAACCAATTTAGCATAAATTGAAAAAAAGATTGCTCAAAAGTTAGACAGTTTAACAAGCTAATAGTTTCTCCAAAAATTTATTAGCTTTAATTTAATAAATTTTTAAATTACTTTACTATAGTAATGCTTTCTGTATTTCCGTATTTTCTTTTAATAAAAAGCATGGGAAACGGATTTAAAAAAAAGTCGTTGCAATATTGAATAGCGGAGTGTACTGTTAAAATGAAAATTAATAATTAAATATTGTTTTTTATAAATAAAACAACATATCATATAAATGCATTAGCTTAATGTATTAAAACATTTATAAACTTTCTTTGAAATCATAATAGAACAATATAAAACTGCTCAAAATAATATTAGATTCTATAAGTATAATAAAGATCCTAAACACAATAAAAATACTAGTTAAATCATTAAGTTAATTTTATTATTAATTTATCTGCATCAATGCAATTGATTGATAACAGTTCTTTTTTTTCAATTTAACTAACTTAAAATCTTTTATTAGAGTGAGGAAAGACAACTTTTCTAATGATTATAATTAAATTTCCTCTCGCTTTTTATAATAATCATTTTATAATATTTGCTATAAAAAATCTCACTATGCTGTGGTTAAACCGACAGGCAAACAACAATCGTTTTGTTATAGCCAATAGATTATGTAAACAAATATAAATAAATAAAGCTGTTAGATTTTTTCATAAAGCTCCTTTATTTGTGAATTTGCAATAAAATGAGTGTTCAATACAAGCATATTGAGCGTTAAAAAGCAATCGCTCTATCAGTCTATGACTTAAATACAAAACTCACTTTCTGTTGTTAATTTTCACAGAAGAGAAATCAAAATGAAGTAACATATAATGACTCAATTATAAAGGTAACTTATTATTGATTCAGAACTTTATCTGTATATTCAACACATTAAATGCGTAGACTAATTTTGATTGATTGTAAGAAAAAAAATTAGTGTCATTAATGATAGATTGTAATAAAAATTTAATTTGGCATTATAATGTATAAAATTTTTAATGCTACGTTTTTCAAGTGAGTGAAAAGAAATAATTCGATTGTGCCACTCTTAAAATGTTGGACGCATCACTTTCATAAGACGGAGCACCATATTGTTTGGTGCAGCATGTCCTCATTTGGATCTTGTGCCACTAAACCCTACATTCAATCAATCATTCAAAAGACAGAGCTTTTCTTTTAAAAACTTTAATTAGTCTTTAGAAAATGATGCGCCTATATTTTTCGTTTTAGGTGTGACAAAAATAAAATAATTTATTTCTTTTAAGTCCACTTAAAAGACATAGTTATTAAAATTTTTATTTCATACTTTATTTTTTCTAGTTTTGGACATGTTAAAATTTGAAAAGGATTGAAATTTTGATTGCCAATAAAATGGAGATAAATTTTGTTTTGCAACTTTTTGGAAACAAATGTAACATGAATTGTCATCAGACACAGAGTTCCAGTTCCAGACACAGTTGAAATTTGAGGATTCTACTTATAAGGCGAAGTTTTGCTTAACAAAAAAATTCTCATTAGTGAAAAAATGAGGATAAACTTAGCTTTCAGAGGTCTGGAAGCAATCGTAACTTGTTGTAATCAATAGAATACTGGTTGAATTTGAGCACTTCAGTTACTTAAAAAGTGGTCAAAATTTCTATTTGTAATATGTTCTATTTGCGGATAAAATGGTAATAAACTTTGCTAGTTGTTGTCAGGAAGCGACTTGTAGTCTCAATAAGCACGGAACTCAAGAAAAGATTTCAGTACTCTAGCTAGTCGGAAAGTAGTAGAAACTTCAATTGCATGTTACCATTGTTACAAACACGAAAGCGAGTTAATTCAGTTAATAAATGCTGCAAGTAATAAGAAAACCTTTATAAATTCACAGAGTATTGTTACAGGTTTCCTAACATTCTCAGAGATGGAAAAAAAAAGTTGTTTGTTAGTTTTAGCTATTATTAATTCCTTTTTATATTTTCTATAAAATTTCGTTAAAGTTCAATAATTTTTTTCACATGAATATTAACTTGAGACCCACATTAAAAATATTTTTCCACTTAGTTTTTAGCAAAAAATTAAAAATCATATTAAAAGACATTATAGAACACCCAGAATGTTAAAATAAAAAATTATGTCATATTTCATAGAATTAAAATGAAAGAAAAATAGCTGGTGGGACATAGAATTTTTTTAAAAAATAAAACTTGTCTAAATTATTTTAGTTCGCTCTAAGATCACAAAATATGTAGTTAGGGTTGAAAATTAATTGAAAACTTTTGATTCCCATTATGAATCTTCTGCTAAAACTGTTTAATTTTGCAGTTATATAAATTTACTTTTGTAAACTTACTTTAATTTTATTTAAGAAAAATATTTATTTTATTTGTATTGATATTTTTATTACTTTTAGGAAGAATCAAAATCCTTTAAAAGGCCTCTTAATTACTTATTATTTTCAATTAAGTGCATTGATTATGAATATTTGTCAAAAATCCCAGTTTTCTACTGCTCTTTAAAATTGCTGTTCCATTAAAAGATACTAGGCCAGGATAGCCTGGTTGACAGGGCGCTGGACGCAGGTTCGTGAGAATGGGAGTTCGAATCCAGCCGGCTGAAGACTCTCCGGGTAGAAAATTTTGACTGCTGCATGTTAAATCTGTTTGGTCACAAAATCCTCCGAGTTCCCATAACAAATTATACCTCTGGGGTACTAAATTGGAGATTGATCGTTTTCTGGTTCAGGTCAAAATTACGATCTGTGGATAAATTAATTTATGTATGAATGGGTCCGCTCTATAAACGGATGTGAAGTATGGGTATGGCAGAATTCTTGTCCATAGATGGCACCACTGGAAAATAGAACAATCACACGCCCTCTGTCTTAGTCGACGACAATAAAAGTTACTTTTAACCTATGTAATCTTCTGCGTAGTTTAAGTCCTTCTTAATCCAGCTAGCAGACAAAATGAATCCAAACAGTAACAAAAAAATAATGAGAAAGGAAACGTTTGCAAGAATCGAATTACATAGTTGGCACTCCCTTGATGTGAGTGTGCCCTCCATGTTTGGCCCTATGGATGGTTGACGATATGTAAACAATAACAAACTTCCTAGAAAACTTCTTCCGGTTGTAGGAAGTTCCCATATGCTACGCTTATGAGGCGATGTATAAACAATCTTAATATTCCAGGAAGTTTATAATTGTGATTTGCATTTAAATTTACTCGTAATTTTACCATTCATAAGAGTCTTCCGTAATTTTTAAATTATTACAGGTCGTGAGCCTCAAACAAATTTAACAAAATTAATTTCACAACATAAATAAAATGTAAGGTTTGCATGTTTTGAGCATTATCCTTTATTGGCTACATTAATGTAAAATATTGCCATTTGATATTTTTTTGTATAGCATCATAGCATGCTTCCAAATTAATTTGTTTGTTTCATTGAAATTTAAATTGTAATTACTGAAGATATAATAATATTGTATGGCGCTTTTTTCAAGTATAGGCGTAAAAATCAATCAGAAGTGGTAACCCGGAAATGTTACAACGAATTCTAACGCCATAGCGCCATCTGTGCTTTACTTTGCATAATTAACCATCCATTAATTAATAATGCTAAGTTATCCTCTGCTTTTTCATCTTCTCTCTTTCCTTACATTTTCTTTTAACCCTTCAACTTGTGCGCACGAGTTAATTCGAGCGCACTAAACAGGCAGAACTGTGCACACTCGAGATAATTCGAGCGACGTTGTATTTTATGCAGCTGTAATTTTTCACACTCGATTATATTCGAGGATTAAAAATAACAATGTGAAAACTAAGAAAAAAAATCGTTTTATTGATATTTATCATTAACATAGGATTGTAAACTATAACACTTATTTATTCAAGAATAAAATATAGCCTTTTTCCATGGAACAAAAGTGCAGTAGATTAAAATTGTCCACCAAAAGAAAAATTGAACCAGGAGCGGAATAAATTTTTTTACATAAAATAATTTTTATTTTTTTTGGCCGTTTTTTTCTTCAAAAAATCAGTGTGTTAAAGGATTAAACATTGTTTGGAGGGAGAATTTAAATTATTTCAGATAAAATTTTGTCATTTCTGCAATATTTTGAGTTTTAATCTTTAATTATAAGCTCCTGTTAAGTGTTTTTTTTTTGTTTAAAAAGCATTTTGTCCATTTTTTTAAATTTATTTTCATGGGTATCTTTAAAGAATTTATTAACATAGTTATTAATAAGGACCCTCTTTTAAAGAAAAGGGACCTTGAAATTTGAAAGTCTTAACACTGAAATACCGTCAAACTTTTTAATTTTTAAGAAGGATAAAAGCTTTCTATTTGAACTTTCGTTTTAATTATTATGTCTTAATTATTTTTCTGCTTTTTGATTCCGGATTACACAAATATTACACCTTCCCAAAAACTTGCTCACATTAATTAAGGATCTTCACAATAAACGATATTCAAAATTGTATAGTCAGGTGAATAACATCAAGTAAAAATAAACCAATTTCTGACACATACCAGATAACTTTATTAAAAGTATTTGACAATCTTGAATTTTGATTAAAATATCTTTTGAAGGTTTGTTACATGATAGACAATAGAGATTTTATAAATTACGACAAATTATGCTAAAACCCGCAGAAAGAAAATTTAAACTTTTATAAAAATTATTGAAAAAATGCATAATAAGGAATAAATTATGATAAACTTTAGAATATAAAGTTAAAAAGCAAAAAGTTTGTTCAACTTAATATCTTATAATAGCTCTGTTCATAGAGAAAATTGACAAATAAATACTTTACAATATTTTTTCAAAAATATATAAATATCTTAAAATGAACTAATTTACAAAACGTTTCATAATATAAACATTTAAAATTCTCTGAAATATTCCATCCAGAGTGCAGAATAGTTAATTAAAAGTTCAACAAAATTATTAACTTTAACTAAGTGACTCATATTAAAAAAATTATTCAAGATGTAATATCATCACAGAAATTCTCATATGACAGCCATTCTCCTTGTTTATACCAGTTTAATATGCTTCATTAAAGGGTAATTTAAAAAATGCAGCCTATCATGATGTGTGAAATGTTTCTTTGTGCTTCAGGATTGTTTTCCATAATTTAGACCAAGACTTTTTTGCCTGAGGCTTGAAAGAAAATCCCTATAAATATCAACCAATTAATAATTATAAAGTCACAACTTGCAAACATTAAAAACTTAGCATATTTAAACACTGAATAATCAGATGAACATTATATTTCTTTCTTATCTTCTAGCATTAATTTACAATATCCCCTTAAAAAGTCAAGTGATCATATTTTTTATAATATATACATTTAAAATTCTCTAAAACGCTCAATCCACAGTGCACAATAGTTAATTAAAAGTAAAAAAGTTCAACAAAATGATTAAAATATAATTCGTGTTTAATATTCAAAAAATTCATTAAAGTGTTGCACACAAGGTTGATATATGGACACGTAATATTATCACAGAAATTCTCATGTGGCAGCTTTTCTACAAAGTTTAATCTGTTTATACCAGTTTAATATACTTAATTAAAGAGTCAGACATAGATTTAAAAAATGCAGCTTATTATGATGCGTGCTTCAAGATTGTTTTCCATTATTTATCATATTTTTTGCAATAAATAAGAATCAAACAAAAACAGTGATTATTCTTAGTAGTGAAGAGTACCACCAATATTTCTAATTACATTGATTATAAAATATAGGTAAATTTTTCAGAAAGAGATTATTTTAAATCAAAATTTTAGAATCTTATTACAGTCTACCCTCATTATTTTTCAAACTATGAAAGACATTCTAACAATCAATACAATAAATTCCACTTGATTATTCATAGAAGCAATTTTATTTTAACAACCAGTAAAATTACTAACCGTAAAGCGTTTAAAAAGAATTTTCTTTTCTTTAATTCAAAAAAAAAATTGCTACAAAGACAACTGGTTAAAATATTTTTGGTACTTCAAAAAAATAAATTAATAAATGAATTGNATTATTCATAGAAGCAATTTTATTTTAACAACCAGTAAAATTACTAACCGCAAAGCGTTTAAAAAGAATTTTCTTTTCTTTAATTCAAAAAAAAAATTGCTACAAAGACAACTGGTTAAAATATTTTTGGTACTTCAAAAAAATAAATTAATAAATGAATTGAAAATGAGTTATCTAATAGAAAAGTTTAAAGAAATTTTTATTTATTCATTTTTCAATGTAAAATAATAATATACCGTAATTTATGGAAGAAACGCCGCACCTATCATAAACGCTGCACTTGTGATAATGAGACTTAAAAGAAAAAAATCATGGTAAACGCCGCACCCATAATAACGATTTAGCGGCAAAAGTGAATATATAACATTAATTCCTTATAAATACTACTAATGTTTTAAATTAAAATATAAATTAAAATTTATAAATGTATAATTATAATAAAATCAAGAATGTAATCTGCTATTGTATATTTTGGACAAACTGCTCAGAACAACATGTTACAATCGGCTGTTGGTGCCATCGTTAGGTAAAAAATTTAAATAACTATATTTATATTACTTTAATATAAATGATTTTTTTTACATTACAGTATAGGACCCAAAATTCGACACTCACGGGACCGACGAAATTCCGTATTTCGGAATTTGCAGAATTTTGGATCTCTTCCGGAAATTCCAATATGGCGCCCGTATATTACGATAATTCAATTACGCTGTTAATTTCAGAAGAACCAATAAATTTAGCTAAGTTTCAATTGTAGATTTTGATGGGGTGAATTTAAAACTGTCCCATCTTTAGAAATTTCATTGATTAAAATAATAATCTATAAGATATAATCAAGAAGAAATAATCCGAAGGATAAATAATTCAAGATGAAATAATCCGAAAAAGAAATAATCGTTTCTTCTTCAGAGCGAGATCATTGTTCTCGTTTTTTCTTTTACATAACATTTTGTTTTAACAAAAGATGCTCACCTCGGAAAAAAAAAAGCTAACAAGGAACTACAAAAAAAGTAACAATTAATGGCAAGAACCTAACAATGAATAACTACAAAAAAGAAGCAAACAACTAATAACGATAAAAAAAAAAAAGTTAACAAGTGTAGCAAAAAAAGTAACAGTTAATAAGCAATAAAAGGATAAATAAATCGAATTTTTTTTTTTTTAAAAAAAGCAGCAAAAGGGATAGAATTCATTTTGTACACCAAGTGAGAAAGAAGTTTCAATGTCAAAAGGGTGTGGCTAATTTATGGTCAAACAGAAGAGGGAAATGTGGGGGGACAAACCAGTAAAGCACATGCACAGCTGTCAAGATTGATTCACCAGTTTCTCCCAACTTGCATTTATTTATTTTGTTCATTGGAAACGCAGATGTTTTTACTTTTCAATTTCACTTTATTTTAAACTGTTTTAGGAACAGATGTTTTGTTTGACACAGATTTATTATTTTTTCTCTTCATGTTTCTATTTTTAAAAGATAAAATATAGTTACTTACTTCAAGAGAAAAAAATTCCAAATAAAAAGAAAATATGACTGATTTTTTTTTCTCTTATCAAAAAAATTTCTTAAAAAAAAAAAAAAAAAAAAATTTGTCGGATTAAGTGCTGAATTTCGGGTTCCATACTGTACTACATATTTACATTTTATAAATATTTTTTTTAATTGTATTTATTTATTTTTTGGAAATATAACTCTTTTATTTAAATAAGAAGATATCAGTTTATAAGTCGCGTCCATAACAATGATGTATAAATATTAGCAAATACTAAAAAGAAAACTTTCCGCAATTTAATTTCTCCACAAAGCACGTTGTAACAAAGTGAGAAAAAATGTGAAAGAGCTATCAACCACGCGGTTTGGCGGGAACTAGATTGAGATCAACCCACTTTCTTTAAGGGGGGTGGGTCATCAATAGTGGCGCCATCTTTTGCCATAATTCACAACTATTTTGATTAAAAATATATATTTTTCTTTGAAAAATGTAAAATTTATTTTTAAAATATCGTAAACGCCGCAATTAAAATTGTAAAACTTTTAAACGCCGCGGCGTTTCTTCCATAAATTACGGTAATTTGAGAAGTTCAGACTTGACTATACAGTTAGTATACTTGAGCATACAGTTAGACATGCCATTCTCTATTCAGTGTTTGTTTACCCATTGCAATTTATTATTTGTTTCTTAATTTCATCTTAAATACAAGAGAAACGTTTCTTTAATCATTACAGGTTTTCTTTCCTTTTTTTACCCTTACTGCTTGTAAATAAATTTTAAGATAAATACTAAAATGAATATGTATTATTACACACTTGAAGGTAGTTTTAAAAAAAAATATATCAACATTTTTAAAATTACTCAACATTTGTATGATTGCAATTTTCCATAATAATGTCTGTTTTCATTAGAATGACAAAGGTCATTATATTGAGTGTTGGCTGCCTTATTTTTATGTATAGCTTTATTTCGCTATTTTAGATAATCATTTAGTAATAGTTTTTTCTCTTGGTTTCACTACTTATAGAGAGATACAGTGAAACCTCCTGTTATGTACACTCCTGTGAAATGGACCTCTCAATACGGACTTTTTTTAATTACCCCTGAATCTTCTATCAATAAACCATTATGTACATTCTCAGCAAAGTGGAAACTCCCATAACCGGACGCAGACAATCATCTTCGCCCTGAAATATTATTTTCTATCTCTTCAAACCAAACATTTTTTCTAAACTTGAAAAAAAAATTCTGCTTTAAATTGCCAAAAAAATATGTAACTTATCGCCATTTTTAAAGCATGTAAATTTTTTTCCTTTTCTGTAACTAAAAATAATGCAATCAAAATAATGCATAAATGAAAATCATTATTAAATAATCAATCTTATCTATGCAAAGCAAGAAGAGAAAATGCTCATTCAGACAGCGGCATCTTTTCATAGGAATGACACAGGTTATGAGATCCCACAAGCTTCAATGCTTCTTCCCCACTGAAAATTTCTGTTGAATTTATAGTAGAAGACTGAATTTAACACAGCTTGGGTAAAAGAGAACAAAACTTTGAGGTGTTCATATAAATTAAACATTTACTCAGATGCTTAATAGATTTGTGAATATATCAACTCCATAGGTCCTCTTAGCTTACAGGTAAGCACTGATTTCTTTTGTTTTCTGTGAATTGGGGGAGGTTTAATTTCAAGGAGGTATTAACCATATTTCCTATCAAGTGATGGGTAGGTGTTAGGGGATGTAAACCCAATAATTGAAACTGACTGAGGACTAACAGCTCCTATTCAGTATCATATAACTAACTTGAATATCTGTGTTAATAGGAAAACTACATAAATTTATCTGTAGCCACAACTAGAATTATGTATTTATATAGAGATTTTTCATATATTCTTTCTGCGTAGAAAAATTATTTTTTAAAAGTTTAAATAAATACCCTTGTAGATAGTTATTGTAGATTATTCAATTATTTCTATATCACTGAAAATATTCCAAAAACAATTTACAGTGTTAAACTTCTTTATTAGGGTACCCTTTCCGTAAATGGACAACTGTCATAAACGGACAATTTTTTCACTCCCAAGAGTGTCCAATTAACTGAGGTATCACTGTACACTATTTCTTGCACCACAAATTTACATTGATAACAAAAACTCACCCAACATTTTCTTGTTGTCTTCCTGATGCAACTTTTCCTGAACCACTTTCTGTGAAAAGAAAAATCAGAAAATTTATGTTTTTGTTGGATATGAAATAATAGACTACATAATTCTTTCTGTTTAACCAGGAAAAATACCCCTATAGTCAGGTTTTGTTTTCCAACATACACCTCATATCAACTGCTTCATTAATTTTCCCTATTAACCTTATTAATATCACAATTTATTCCTTCTCTTTTAACTGAATGAATACACCATTAAAATAAATTATTAAAGTAGCAGATGACCAAACAAACTTGATTTAATTTTAAAAAAACTTACAAGAGAAAACAATGTATTTTATTTAATTACAGGGAATTTATAAAAAAAAGATTTAATACCCACTTCAAAATTATTTAATTAGAAACTGTATTTTATAACACAACATAAAAAACGTTGGTTTTAATCGACATTCACTTAATTACTGACTCATTTTAATAAAACTAGAATTTTATTATATTTTAAATAGCTACAATCAAACTGTTATTCTAAACCTTAAAGTACAAAGACTTCCACAAAAAGTCCGTTTGTCCCAAGTTCTGCATACAGTATAGAGAGTAACCAGACCAAGAAAAGAAAGAGATCAAGAGTGAAAGAGACCAATGCAAAGATGTAAATAATACACGATGTTTAAATTAATTTTAAAAAATGTGGAAGGCGTGATATTCAGAAATTCAACAAAAAAAGGGGTTAATTTTAAAGATACATACAATGAAATTTTTCCCACTGCAGATAAATTACACTTCAATTATTAAGAATTACCAAATTATATTCTTCTCATGTTTTACTCTATATTATTGTTTCCTAAGCTATAAATCCATGCTTGAAAGCTTTGAATCCCATCAAATGAGCCAACATTCAATCTATTTGACCTGGTGTTACAATGCAGTTTATAATACCAGGGATGGGACATTGGACACTTCAATTAGGTGCAATCTTTAGAATAGCAAATTCTGAGATTCATAGCAGATTCACCATAAATTGCAGTAGTAACACTATTAAAGATAGTTTGAAGATAAAAAATAAATTTTAAAACTACAGTTAAACATAAAATAGGAGAAATACAGAAGAATAAGATAAAAGTAAAAATTATCATGTATATAATTTCTTATGTATCCATTACAGACAGTGGTGTATCCAGGGAACGGCACGTATGGCAAATGCCATAGGTACATGATCTGAAAAAGGTGCAAAATCAAAATTTTTTTCCAAGTTAAGGCAGAATTTAAAAAAAAAGCTTACAACATTTGAAAAAAAAAGGACTAAAATAAAGAGAATCCATGATTATTAGATAAATCTTTATTTTATTTATTTTACCACATGCAAAGAAAGAAAATAAACAAGTTCCTCCTCTTCATATTACAATACAAGAATGGAGTTGTTCATGGCAATTATTCGGTGAGGGAATGTAGGGAAATGTAAATGGCAATCTGGTGCATGTTAAATCTGTCGAGGCTACTAAGTCCTCAAAGTTCCCATAACAAATCAATATCTCTTTAGGGTACTGAATTGGAGATTAATCGCTTTCTTGCCCAGGTCAAAATTACGACATGTGGATGAACGATTGGAGTATAAGTCCACCCTGTAAAACTGGCTGTGATGTGTATGTGGCTGAAGTCGTATTCTTGGCCATAGACATAACATAGTAAAAACAAGCAACAAATCATCTGCCTTAAAAATCGCTTAAAAAGCAGGCTTACTAGTATTCGCAAGAGGCATAAGTAACAGCAACAAAAATTATACCAATACATTTAGTTCTTTTTCTAATATCCTATAAAAATTTTGAAATTTTTAAAAATCGTCAAATTTTTATTTTATTTTTAAGACATCAAGACATTAATCACATTAATATTTTTAAGTTGTAGTGATCAATCTTTTCTAGTAATGTATTAAGTGAATAGGAATTTAATGTTTTAATTTTATTAAATTGAATAATATATTTTAACTAGTTTTTATTATTTTGATCAATGATTTAAATGTCCACGTTATCAGATATCTAGCCCACAAAATTTAAATGCAGGATTGATAAAAACCATATGTATTTTTGAGCAAAATATCAGGAATAGGCATTTTGGAAATTTTATAGTGATCAGAATGTATGGAAATCTGATGGTGTAAAGTTAGGCAGTTATGATGGGCGATCCTACCTTTATTCATTAAATTTTACAAGATTATTCAACACCGACGCCCGGTGGCTGAGCGGTAGCACTTCGTGCTGTCGTGCCACAGGTCCCTGGTTCGATCTGCCAAGCCTGGTTCCAAGCCTGACTCAGCCTTTAATCCTTTCAGTGGGTCGATAAATGAGTACCAAGGATGCTTGGGAACTAAACACTGGGGGTTCCGCGTTCGGCTGACCACCTGACCGGAACATCTGCTGCTGCACCCCAGAACCCAAGGTCAAGAAAACTGAGATGGGCACAGTAGGCCTTGGCCCTCAAGGGCTGTCACGCCGGTGAGTTTAGTTTAGTTTTTTTATTCAACACCACGCTATGCAAAAAAATTCATGAAAAAAAAAATTATGAATAGGAGTGCATGAATGAAATAAATAAATGGACTCTTATTTATAATAAATATTTAGCAGTGAATTCAAATAATCCCAAGTGTATGCATTTGAGGAAATTTGAATTGTTTGCAATATTCCGTTCATGCTTTGTATTTTGGTATGTTAAAATATGAAGCAAAAGATTATAATATACCTTATTATCAATTTTTTTTATGATTATCAAATAGAATGATTTCAAAATATAAAAAAGTAAGACTTAAAATTGTATGCAAACAATATTTTCTTTTCATTTGCAGGGATGAGATTGGCCAAAAGGCAAAAAAGCTGAATTTCTAGTTTATGTGCATGCAAATTTTTCTTTTTTATGTGCATGTATATTTTATGTGCATGCAATTGTTTAATAATAAATTCCAGACAATTTAAGATGATAAATAATTATGTATTGACGCAAAATTGTGTACTAATTTATTAATATATGAATAATTACATCAATACTTAACATTTATTGAAAAGTAAAATTATCAATTGAAAAAATAAAGCTAGAAATTATATTTTTCTTCAGTTCATATAAAGAAGACAATTATTACTTGAGAAATTGCCTGGTTTAGCAAATTAAAACTACTGATAACATACATTAACATTCCTTTTCTTTTAATAAATACTGATACGTGATTTATAACAAATATATCAGTAACTTGATTTTTTAAATTACTTAGAAAATAAAATAAAATTTTACAATTGGAATCACTATGTCAGGGGTGCTACTCGCAAAATATCAAATTGTCTCACCAGAAATTGCATTTCGTCTCAGTTAAAATCTCTTTTTGGCTCAGTTTGTCCCAGCTAAAATTATTTTTTGACTCAGTTTATCTCAGCTAAAATTACTATTAATCAGTTTGATAACAATATAAAGATAATTTTCAGGATCCATAAAACCATTAATAGCATACTAGGAGTACTACAATTATACATACATTCACTATTGCTAGGATTTTAAAAAACCTGCATATGATTGATTATAAGAGCCCACAAAATTGTTTTGTGGACTCTGTTGTTTTCATATATATTGCATTTATCATTTATGCCAATGAATAGTATCTGTTCCAGAATTTTACGAAGTAAATTTTAACTTTCTTATTTTTTAAAATATAATGATGTAACCTTTCTAAAAAGAAATATCTATTTAGTTTTGGTAATTCAAAAGGGAAAATACCCATTTTATTTTGAGCTCAAATTTCATCTCAAAATATATAACTATTCAGTTACAATGAAAGGTCTACAGATTTCAATAATTAAAAGAGAAATTCAGTAATTAAATAATGAGAGTTTAAGAAAATGCAAATAACACAAAAAAAAACACTCTTTGATAGAATTCAGGAGGTGCAGTGAAATTTTGAAATATTTTAGGTAGGAATTTTTCAAGAAAATTTTAGGGAGCACTTAATAGCCAAAAATTAGCATATATACATTTTTATATCAAAACAGAAATATTTAAAAACTATTATAAACAATTTAAAAAGACACATATAAATATAATTTTCTTTCTAAAATGACTTGCATCCTTTATTAAGTATAAAAGTAAACTTTTTAGTTTATTGGCATTGACTAGTAGATTGTACTTTCTTGCATTCACAAGATTAGTTAGTTGACTATGTTCTTTTAATTTGTATAGCTAAATATACAATCATAAAATGTGATTATGAATGCACTTAGTAATTGTTTAAATGCAACAACTGTAGAAAAATATATCACATCTTTACAGTA